CCAGGCTGGCCTCGAACTCACAGAGATCCGCCTGGCTCTGCCTCCCGAGTGCCAGGGACTCAAGCATTCTCCTCCATCTCCAGTCCCTCCTCCAGTTGTCTTGAGGCAGAGTAGTAGTATGTAGTATGTAGTCACGACGGGACTACTACCCCCCACGCAGTTCAGGCAGGAGTAAACACTCCTCCAGAGTTCGAGGATTACAGGCATGAGCTACCCCACCCATAAGCTAAACCTTTCAAATTGACTATGTCAATCAGTTCTGTCACAACACTGTGGGGATGCCCTCTTGACCTTACTTTATAGAGGAGGAGACTGAAAAGGGTTAGAGGATTTGTTGGAAGTCGTTCGGCCAGGCAGACTGAGTCCAGAGGGCTCTGCCACCCAGTGCTTCCCAGTGAAGAAACGAAGTCCTGAGTGGAGAAGTGATTTGCACATCTCCTAGCCTGTCCTCTTTCCACATACCAAGCAGCCTTCTTTCCAGGTTGGTGTGAGTTGGAGAGAGTCCAAAGAGAACAGCGACAGAATAGACAGGGAACAGCACGAGGAGTCTGAATGAATGCACCTTTGTTTGTGGGAAAGGCCGACAGTGGCTGGCAGCGCTCAGGTGCTCGTCAGGAAACCCGATAAGACTGGCCCAGGGAAGGGTGTCCTTGCTTGCTTGCTTGGAATGAGCCAGCCCTGCCTAGATCCCATCTGTATCCCTAATGTCTAGAAAAGTCTCTGGAACGAAACAGGTTTAGTAGACGTGTGATAAATGAGTGAAGTTGAGTACCAGGAGAGAGCACGTTAGGTGAGGTGCTGAAGACATTCCGTGTGAGTGTGTTCTGTTTCAAGCAGAGGAAAGCTAGAGCTTGACCACATTACGCTGGCTTAGGAATGGTGGGAAAGGTCCCTGTTTACATTTGTGAATCAGAGGTTACAAACTCAGTGTAGCTGAGGGCCAGTGACATCAGCAAGTCAAGACCCATGTGGGGTGACAAGGAGTGGCTGAGGTTGGCTTCCCCATGGAGATGTGGTTCCAATATCCTGTGTATTCCTGTTCTTTTTTGTTTGTGGTTGTTTTTTGAGATAGGATTTCTCTGTATAGCTCTGGCTGTTCTGGAACTCACTATGTAGACCAGGCTGGCCTCAAACTCAGAGAACCGCCTGCCTCTGCTTCCCCAGTGCTGGGACTATAGGCATGTACCACCGGCTTATCTCCCTATTTTTAAAAGAAATTAGGACTCTAGATTTTTATTTGAAAAAGGAAGCTCAAGCAAAAACATACTTGAACAACTTGCCAGGTGGTGGAGATGGCGGTGCATGCCTTTATTCTCAGCAATTGTGAGGCAGAGGCAGGAGGATCTCTGAGTTTGAGGCCAGCCTGGTGTATAGAGCGAGTTCCAGGACAGCCAGGGCTACACAGAGAAACCCTGTCTTTTTTTTTTTTGGGTGTGTGGGGGGGAGAGGGTTGAGACAGATTTTCTCTGTGTAGCTTTGGAGCCTTTCCTGGAACTCACTCTGTAGCCCAGGCTGGCCTCAAACTCACAGAGATCCGCCTGGCTCTGCCTCCCAAGTGCTGGGATTAAAGGCGTGCGCCACCACCGCCTGGCTTGAGAAACCCTGTCTTGAAAAACAAAACAAAGAAAGATTACCCAAGTGCAGTGGCACATACCTGTAATCTTTGTATTTGGGAGACAGAGGTAAGGTATACATACGTAAATGAGTTCCAGGTCAGGCCTGCCAGGGCTAATTGATGAGACCCTGTCTCAGGATTTAAAAAAAAAAAAACAAAAAAAAAAACTCTGTGTGGCTGTGAGGGCCAAATGACAGGGTGAACTGGACTAGGAACTTTGGCGTGAGCAAACACATCCAGATTCTGTTGCTCAAGCTCCACCCGCTATGGTGGTATTCCGATTCCCTTGTGCATGTGTATGCACTTGAGTGTGTGTGTGTGTGTGTGTGTGTGTGTGTGTGTGTGTGTGTGTGTGTATGTGTGTGCACATGTGGCACACAAGCAGAAGTCTGAGAACAAACGCAGATGTTAGTCCTTGCCTTCTATCATGTTTGAGACAGGGTCTCTCACGTGTTGCCACTGTATGTAGCAGGCTAGCCCTGGACTTCTGGGGACTCTTTTGTCTCTGTCTACCATCTTGCCACAGAAGCACTGGGATTATGGATGCAAGACGCCAAATGCCCAGCTTTGCTGGTTCCTGGTTTCCTGGGATTCCAGCTCAGGCCCTGATGCCAGCACAGCAGGGACCTTGCCCTCTCACCCGGTCCCCTACTGTGTAATGTCCTTTGTCATATGTTTTTAAACCTAATCTATTGGGGCTGCAGAGATGGCTCATGGGCTAAGAGCACTGACTGCTCTTCCAGAGGACCCGGGTTCAATTCCCAGCACCCACATGGCAGCTCACAGCTATCTGTAACTCCAGTTCCAAAGGACCCAACACCTTCACCCAGACATACATGAAGGCAAAACACCAATGCACATAAAATAAAAACGAATTTAAAAAAAAGCTAATCTATTATGGGACACATACATTTTCATTTTTCTTTTGTTTTCATTTTGGACACAGGTCTCTCTTTAACCCAGCATACCCTAACTCAAGGCAATCCTCCTGCCTTAGCCTCCAGAGTACAGGAATTACAGGAAAGCACCATGCTCTCGCCCTTTTATTCTTGTTACAAACGATCTACAATACTAACCTTCTCCTAGATGCCCTCTGTTCACAGTGGGACAAGCCCTGTGAGATGAAAAAACTGTAAGTCAAATGCATTAACTTTTGGAGGTGACCCAAAACAGGAGCCGCAGCCACCTGCAGCTGAGGTGCTGCTCTAACCAGATGCTGCACAGCAACAAGGCCATTAAGAAGTGTGTCATGGGGCTGGAGAGATGGCTCAGAGGTTAAGAGCACTGGCTGCTCTTCCAGAGAGGTCCTGAGTTCAATTCCCAGCAACCACATGGCGGCTTATATCCATCTATAATGAGATCTTATGCCCCGTTCTGGCCTGCAAGCAGAACACTATGTATAAATAAATCTTAAAAAAAAAAAAAAAGAAAAAAGAAAGAAAGAAAAGAAAAAAGGAGTATGTCATTTGGAACACAATGGAGACCACTGCCACCAGGGACATTTCTGAAGTGTCTTTGATGGTCACGTGCTTTCCAAATCCTATGCAAGGCTGCATGCATGGTTCCATTCATAGCAAGGTAGTCAGGAATCAAACTCCTGAAGCCCGGGAGGACTGACCCTCCCCCTCCTGATTTAGATTTGCCACCAAAGCCCATGTAAGGAGCTTGCTTCATAAGAAGGAAAGACCAAACATCTAAGGAAAAAAAGATGGAAATTATACTTTTTTTTTTTTTTTTTTGGTTTTTCGAGACAGGGTTTCTCTGCGTAGCTTTGCGCCTTTCCTGGAGCTCACTTGGTAGCCCAGGCTGGCCTCGAACTCACAGAGATCCGCCTGGCTCTGCCTCCCAAGTGCTGGGATTAAAGGCGGAAATTATACTTTTAAGAAATGCATTGAGCCAGGCCGTGGTGGTGCATACCTTTAGTCCCAACACTCCAGAGGCAGAGGCAGGCAGATCTGAGTTTGAGACCAACCTGGTGTATAGAGCAAGTTCCAGGACAGCCAGGGTTACAGAGAAACCCTGTTTCTGAAAGAGAGATAGAGAGAGAGACACACACACACAGAGAGAAACAGAGGGAGAAAAGAAATGCGTTGAATAAACCAGATGTGGTAGTGAAAGTCTATAGTCTCAGCACTAGGAAAGCTGTAACGGGAAGACAGAATTTGAGACCAGCTTGGGTTACATATCCAGACCCTGTCTCAATAAATAGGAAGTAAGAAGACAGAAACACGGAGGAGGAGAGTACTCTGTGTTCACTTGTCATGGTTTAGCATTGTAGGGTGTCAGAGGTCATCCGCATGACTCCTTGCCATAAGCAGAGATAACATCAGATCACAAATAGAAGAGATCAAAATTCAAAGAGCACTACCTGGCTAGGTGTGGTGGAGCATAACTTTAAGCCCAGTTTGGGAGAGGCAGAGAGGCAAGTGGATCTGTGAGTCTGAGGCCAGCCTGGTCTACATAGTGACTTCCAAGCCAGCCAATGCTGCTAGTGAGACCTTGCCTCAAAAGCAAAACAAAAGTAAACAAACAAAAATAAAAACAAAAGACACTTCTTACTGAATGTGGTCACTTTGACAGTATTGTAAGGCCAGACCGTTGTGAGTTGAGGACTTATCTGTATGTGAACTTCTGATCATTGTCTTTATGATAAGTATAACTGTTTTTAATTGCCTAATCCAAGTTGCCAAACTTCTGTGATCTGCCCTCCCCACCACAGTGATGGGGATAGAAACGGACTTGTAAATGTTAAACACATGCTCTATCCCAGAGCTACACTCCCAGCCTAGGAGGTGATTTTGTGATACTTGAATGATGGCATCCTCCCGCACCTGGCACTGAGCAGGTCCTCATTAGCCACTGATCTGTTTCCCCTGCCTTCTGGGTAAATGGTATTCCACTAAAATAGGGGGTGGGGGAACTGGTGAGATGGCTTAGTGATAACAACACTTGACACACAAGACTGATGACTTGAATTTGACCCCAGATCAATGGTGGGAGGAGAGAACTTCCTGAAAGTTATCCTGTGACTGCCATATGCTCACCATGGCAAGTGTGCTCACACGCACGCGCACACACACACACACACATGCACACGCACACGCACGCGCACGCGCACACACACACACACACAGTAAGAAAGATTATGTAGTGATTAAAAGATACATTACTGGCAGGGCTAGAGAGATGCCTCAGAGGTTAAGAGCTCTGGGCTGCTCTTCCAAAGGTTCTGAGTTCAATTCCCAGATTCTACATGGTGGCTCACAAACATCTGGCGCCCTCTTCTGGCCTGCAGGCATACACCCAGAACACTGTATACATAATAAATAAATCTTTAAAAAAAAAAATAAGTACTTGCTGTCTGGACTGTGGCGGCACACGCCTTTAGCACACTTGGGAGGCAGAGGCAATTAGATCTCTGTGAGTTTGAGGCCAGCCTTGTCTACAGAGCTTGTTCTAGGACAGCCAGGGCTACGGCTACACAGGGGGATCCTGTCTCAATAAACAAACAACAAGGGCTGGAGAGATGGCTCAGCAGTTAAGAGCACTGACTGCTCTTCCAGTTGGACCCAGGTTCAATTCCCAGCACCCACATGACAGCTCACAACTGTCTGTAATTCCAGTTCCAGGGGACCCGACACCCATGGCAAAACACATAAAATAAAAATAATTTAAAAATAAATAAATAAACAACAAAAAAGCACTTGCTGCTCTTGCAGAGGACTCGGGTTCAGTTCCCAGCACCCACGTGGTGGCTCCCAACTGTCCTTGATTCCCTGGAGGGGCGCCAACATCCTCTTTTGACCTCTGAGGGCACCAGTGACACACGTGGTACACACACACACACACACACACACACACACACACACACACACGCTCGTAGAACATGCATACAAATAAACTAAGAAATAAATCTGGGGTTCGAGACATGGCTCAGCACTTCAGAGCACTGGCTCTTCTTATAGAGAACCCAGGTTCAATTTCCAGCATCCACATGGAGATTCACAACCAGCTGTAACTTCAGATCCAGGGAAACCAATCCCCTCTCCTGTCCTCCACAGGCACTAGGCATGCAAGTGGTATATAGACACACATGCAGGCAAGAAACCAATATAATGATAAAAGATAAAAATAAATCTTTCAGAAAAGATAAATTAATCTAAACCAATTTTTTAGAAAGATAATGGGACTGGAGAGGTGGCTTAGCGATTATGACCTAAACTTAGTTACCAGGATTTTTCTTTTTCATGTGTGTGGATATTTTGACTACACGTATGTCTGTGCACCATGTGCATGCCCTGTCCCAGGAGGCCAAAAGAGGTGCTGGATCCCCTAGAACTGGAGTTACAGAAGGTTGTGAGCATCCGTGTGAGTGCTAGGAAATCCTGGTCTTCTAGAAGGATAGTCAGAGCTCTTAACCACTGAGCCATCTCTCTAGTACAGTTCCCAGGATACATGCGTGTGTGTGTGTGTGTGTGTGTGTGTGTGTATGTGTGTGTGTGTGTGTGTACACGCGCGCACGTGTGCGCGCGCTCATATTTACATTTGTGGATGTTTTGCTTGCATGCATGTCAGTGTACCACATGCATGCCAGGTGCCTGGAGAGGCCAGAAGAGGGCACTGGATCCCCTGGAACTAGAGTTCCGGATGGTTGTGAACCCACATGCTGGTGGGAACTGAAGCCAGGCTCTCTCCCAGAGTAACACATACTCTTAACTGCTGAGCCATCTCTCCAGGCCTCTCCCTCACCTTTAAAGACAGGGTCTCTCACTGGTCTGGAGCTGTCCAGGAGGCCAGGGTGGCTCACCGACAGACCCCAGCGGTGTGCCTCTCTCTTCTGCTGGATCACAAGCACCTGTCACTGCACTCAGCTTTTAACCTGGGTTCTTAGGCCCGAATACCTTCTCATGCTTGAAGATAAGCAGTTTACAGACTGAGCTGTCTATCTCCCTAGCCTTCCCCATAGGTACCCTTGTGACGAAGTTTAACATCCCTATGTAGTAAGTGAGGAAATGGGGATTAGACTGTAAACTCCAGAAAGGCTAATGATTGGTCCAAGGCAACAATCTGAAGAAACCAGGATTTGAAACCAGGCAGATTTGCTCCGGGAGCCTGTGGTTCTCCTTATTATATCTGAGAAGCAAATGAAAGCTTCTCAAGCCAAAGAACTAAGGAGAGGGGGAGATTGGGAAAGCTGGGGAGGACTAGCTGCGCTGGATCCCTCCTCAGAGGTGGCTGCCCACTGCAGGACACCGTGGTTGCTCCTGTGGTCTCACTGGCTGCTGGCAGGACCACTTCACAGCTGGGCCTAGCTGGTCAGAGGCCACCGAGTCAGAGGAAAGTGAGCACCCAGAGAGGAGCAATAGGTTGATATGGAAATCTGAGGGGAGGACTCTGAGGCTGGGAGATACCCCAGGGCATCCCTATTTCCCATTAGAGCAGGTACAGAATAATTTAACTAATGCCAATTATCTACGAAACTTGAGACATGTATCCACACAGAATCAAGGTCCTGACCTGCGTGTGCTGAAAGTCCTGGTCTTTGAGGCCCTAGGTAAAATGACCAGCCACCACAGCCTGAGGTGACCCCAGTTCTCTACTTCTTTCCAGCCCTTCAGCGGGTGTGAGCTGAGCAGGTTCTCAGCCTAGAGCACTCTGTATTCCCCCTCACACACCCGAAACACTCCTGCTCCCTTACTTACATCTTGGAGAGTCACAGACATGACTCACACCTGGTTGGCAAAAGCAGAGGCTTCAGAGCAGGAGGGTCCTGGAGGACTAAAGTCTGGCTCGGGCCCTTAGAGGGGGCTTTGGCCTCCTCAGCCTCCAGCAGCGTCTGAAATAAACTCCAGCCACTTCTGCTTGCAAGTTTTGGTTCTACTTTCGTTTTCTGTGAATTCCCGCCTCCGAGTACACAGCCCCACCCTTGGGAGGAGCCTTCAACTGCAAAGACCCAGCGTGATGCCTGATTCAGGTGTATGTTCTAGGGGATTGCAAAGGGAGTGGGTACTGGCCCCGACCCATCTTCCCAGGCAGATGATTCAAGAATCCCTAGGATTTCCCTCTACCCCTTTCTTAGACAGACGATTAGCATGTAGCTTTAGCTGGCTTTGAACTCTATTGCGTTTGCTTCCAACATGCTGAAGATTAAAGACATGTGAAGGCACATCCAGCAGATTTTATTATTTTTTTTTTGGTTTTTCGAGACAGGGTTTCTCTGTGTAGCTTTGCGCCTTTCCTGGAACTCACTTGGTAGCCCAGGCTAGCCTCGAACTCACAGAGATCCGCCTGCCTCTGCCTCCCAAGTGCTGGGATAAAAGGCGTGCGCCACCACCGCCCGGCTGATTTTAAAATTACATTTATTGTGTGGGCAGGAGTGTCCACGTACTATTGTGAAGGCATGGGGGTAACGACTTTTATGGGTTAGTATCCTGTGGGTTCCAGGGAATTATTCATTAGACTTGCCAGCAGCTGCAGCCGCAGCCCTTACCCACCCTGCCATCCTGCCCCCTTTTTCAGGCTGGGTTTCATTGTGCAGTGCTGGCTGTCCTCCAACTCATGCACTTGCCTCTGCCTCACCCTCCCTTAACCTTTGTTTTTTCCGAGACAGGGTTTCTCAGTGTCGTTCTGGTACCTGTTCTGGAACTTACTATGTAGACCAGGCTAGCCTTGAACTCAGAGATCCACCTGCCTCTGCCTCCTTAGTGCTGAGATTGAAGGCGTGTACCACTGCTGCCCTCCCTTAATTCTTAAGAACTGTGTATGATGTAGGTGCTGGGAAACAGACTCTGGTCCTAAGAGAACCTTGTTCCTAACTGCTGGGCCATCCATCCAGTGTCAGGATCTCTTAAAGATCTTTCTCTAGGATGAACACTGCCAGGGCTGTACTAGCCAACACTGGATCTGCACTGAGACACCACCAGCTTTTTCTATTAGTACACAGCCACCTGGTTCCCCTCACAAACCTTTTTTTAAAATGCTGTCACTATGTAACATTGGCTGGCCTCAACCCAAGACCCACCTGCCTCTAGTGCTATATGCCTGCATTTATGTTTGGGAGGTTTTGTTTTTGAGACAGGGTTTCTCTGTGTAGGCCTGGCTGTCCTCTGCCTCCCAAGTAGTGGGATTAAAGGTGTGTGTCACTAAAGCACATTGGCTTCATTTCACAGCCCCCTTTCCAGCGTCTCTTATCCCAAGGTCTCCTTTTTCAATATACATGCAGCAGGCAGACACAAGCTTTTTTTTTTTTTTTTTTAATGATGGGAACAAAAATATATCTAAAAGCGAAGCTTCTGGAAAAACCATTTATTCTTCCCTGTCTTGTATCTAGAAAGGAAAAAAACAGAAAGATACATGAAAAATGGAACAGAAAAACAAATTGTTTCATGGGAAGTAGTAAAAGTGCATAGGATAGGACCTACTTACCTTTCCTCAAACTTGACCTTGGCCTCCCGCCTGGCCTTGCGTTTCAGGGCTGGGTCTCTAAAGACATCCTTGTTGACAACTGTTTTGTCCAAGGGGATGTCCACAGAGTACCTGGGGAAACGGAGCAGAGGCAGGATTAGCTAGGGACTTAATTTGGCCTAGTCCTCGAGGGACAGGGGGCGGTAGGATCCAATCCCTCAGTGAAATAGTGAGGAACATCTACTTAAGCTGGACACCTTCTCATTTTAGTTAATATCCACTTCCATGGTCCTAAACTCTGGGACATCTTACTTTAATTTCCAGAACTCCTTTTTACGAGTGAGATTTATCACACAAGACTTTAAGACTGCTCCCCAACGAGTCTTGAAGACAGCTACAGTTCAGGACCCTCAATTCCTGTCGTCCTTTACTATTCCTGTACTGAGATAGCGTGTGCTGGAAGACTGTGGCACTAAGGGCCCCTGCAGTTAAAGCAATGAAAACTGGCTTCTCACTATAAGCTCTGGCTGGCCCACAGCTCCCCTCGCTTCAGCTAGGATGGTAACTACACTACCACCAACTGGGCAGGAAAGAAACTCTTTCTGGGGATGCACCTGTAGACCTGGTTCAGTGGTCCAGAGCACTGACTGCGCTTCCAGAGAACCTAGGCTCAATTCTCAGCACCCACTCGATACACATACGCACAGACCAATCATCTATGATGATTCAGGACTAAGTCACCTCTCCAGTGTGGTCTAAACCAAGCACTTGTGCGGCCCTCTCCTCCTACCTCTGTACAAACTCCAGGGATTAACTTTGGTCACCAACAGCAAGCACGAAGCTGCCTCACAGCCCAAAGGAAATCATCTTGTAGAACAGTGAGAGACCTGTCTTGTCTGCCCTCGATGGGAGACAAATGCAGCCATCTTTACTTAATATAAAATCTCAATCCTACTCAGTCAAAATGGAGAACAGAAAGCAAGATGAGCTGTGATAGGGTGCTCCCATACAGAATACAGGGTCCAGGATTTGAGGGTACCCCTGCTAAAAAACAAAAAACCACCCCAGCACTTGGATGGGTGTGAATTCAAGGCCACACAAAGAAACCCTGTCTTGAAAAGCCCCCACCCCCACAATAGGAGGGATCCAGGAGACAAAAAGAGAGGCATTCTATTCTCCAAGATGGAGCAGAGTCAAATCAAGTTACTCCCCTCCCCCAATGGCACTGAGGCAGAACCCAGGGTCGTGCATCTGGTAGGCAGTGCTTAGCATTCCCAGGACTGAGGGAAGAGGATCATCCACAGGCAGGAGAGGGCAAGAAGGACATGAACGAAAGACGACCTTTTCTTGTACCACAGCACCCACAAAGCTGTCACTTCCTCAGGGGAGGAAGTGAAAATCCACACTTTCCCATTTTTTTTGGAAAGCTCACCTTGTGGGCATGAGGTGATTGTAGTTATAAACTTTCACAAAGGACTTGATCTTTGACCTCTTGGCAATTTTCTTCTTGCCCATGGCAGCTGTCACTTTTCGGGGATAGCGGTCAATTCCAGCCACCAGGGCATGGCTGTAAGGGCGGTCTGAGGTGCCGTCATCAATGTTCTAAGTGAGGAAGAAAAACACACACACTGATGTTACCGCTTGGACCCTTATCAGTAAAACTGTATGTTCATTAGACACACACCTCCACACTACTGTAGAGGATAACCACACCACTTGATGCTAAGCTCAAAGAGCCAACAGGACAGTAAGTGTGTGTTAGCCAGTGTTTATTCGCATCACAAGACTTTGCAAAAGCATTTGAGAGACAGGTTTAAAAGCTGCATCCAAATATTCACGCTGGGCTTGGTGGCGCACGATTTTAATGCCGGCAGTTCAAGTCCGGCGTGGGACAGAGCCACACTGCAAGACGCTGTCTCGGAAAAACAAACAAAAAAGTAGACACTCGGAGTGCTGGGTGCCATCTATCATCTTTCAACTTGCCCACGAGGCTAAGGTTAGAGCTGAGGCTCCAAGGCTGGCAGCGTGGCCACCGAGACCAGGCTCCAGACAAATGGCAGGAGCGGAAGCCAGTGTCCTCAACAGCGAAAGTCTAAAACACCCAGGGGATGTTGTAAGTAAAAGCAGATCTCCGATTCCACAGACCTCAGCTGCAGCTGGGATTACTTGGCCGTGACACAAGTTAACCCCTCTAGACTTTAGTCATTAAAGTAGGTTACTGCAGGAATTACACACTACACCTGTAAGAGGGTCAAGACACGACGGCCACTACTAAATGCTTAAAGCCTACTCGGTGGAGATCCCAGTGTGGGCCAGGACCCCAATTCCCCGCACGCTTGCTTCAGACCTCTCATGCATTTACCGCCCGCGGCCTGGCCGCCGGGTCCCGGGGCTACTGCTCGGAACGGGATCTTAAATTCCGATCCCGCCCGATGCCCCTGGTGCCGCCCAACTCCCCGCGTGCAGGCGACGCGCCCTGGCGGTCTGCTACCTTCACGATGACGGCTTTGCGTCCGGAGTAGCGTCCGGCCAGGACCAGCACCACTTTCCCGGGTTTCATGAACTTGCCCATGTCTGCAGAGAACAAAGACAAGGAGCCGCTCAGCAACTTGCGAGGCGCAAGGCCCCGGAACCGACTTCTCTAGATGCGAGCCCGGGTCCGCAGGCCCGCGACCCGCTGCCGACGAGGCCACGCCGCGCGCAGGTTCTGCTCGAGCGACGCGACTCGCCACGAAGCCGCCAGAGGCTCCGAGTCGGACCGCGCGCGGCCACCCGACCCCGGGGTCGCGATGGCGGCGGATGGCAAGACCCGCGCCAGGCCGCTACTCACCGACAGCAAGGAGCCGGGACCCAGCGGAAAAGAAGGAAGAGCACTTCCGCCAACCTTTCACCCTGCGGAGCGGCGGCCTCACTTCCGGTCCCGCCTTTCCGGCTCCGCTGCGCCGCTCTCGTTTGGTGGTCAAAGCTGCTGGCGGAAGTTGCTGGTTGAGGTCGCGTCGGGCGGGGCGTTTGTTTGAATCGAGCTTTATTAGCAGCGCTGGCAGCAAGACAGGAACAGAGTTCCGTCTCCGGCGTACGGAGGGCGGGGCAGAGAGGGCGCGTGAGTCTGCGCACTCGGCCCCGCCGCTTCCTTCGTTGTGGTCCCCTGCTCTGCCCCTAGGAGGGGGGCGCGGTCTGAAATTCACTGTTTCGCCGCAGAGGAAGGAGCCAGGTTTCTGCGGGGGCGCAAGCCTGTAACCCCAACATTCCGGGGGCTGAGACAGGATTTCCAGTTCCCGTGTAACCTAGGTTGCATACAGAGACCCTGTCTCCATTAAATGAATAAAAAAGTATGTCATAGGGAACCAAGTGGCCTGTGCACTGTTGGCTGAAAAACAGGGAAGATCAAATGTTCTTATCTCTAGGGTTCAGCCCAATGATGTCAACTGTTATCGACTAGACTAAGCATGTGGCACTCCTCGCTCTTTAAAAAATTATATATATATAATTGGGGGGCCGGATTTTGAGACAAGGTTTCTCTGTGTAACAGCTCTGGTTGTCTTGGAACTTTCTTTGTGACCAGGCTGGCCTCGAACGATCCGCCTTTCTCTGCATCCCAAATGTTGAGATTAAAGGTGTATGCCAGCACCGCCCGGCATTTTTTCTTTTTCTTTCTTTTTTTTTTTTAAATGTTCACTGGTGTTCTGCCTTCATGTATGTCTGTGTGAGGGTGCCAGATCCCCTGGACCAGGAGTTACAGACGCTTGTGAGCTGCCATGTGGGTGCTGGGAATTGAACCTGGGTCCTTTGGAAGAGCAGGCAGTGCTCTTAACCACTAAGCCATCAGTCCAGCCCCCTTATTTTTTTATTTATGAGTATTTTACCTGCATGTATGTATGTGCCTAGTGTCCAAGGAGGTCAGAGGAAGGTGTTGGATTCCCTGGAACTGGTGTAACAGATGACTGTATGTCACTATGTGGGTGCTGGGGATTGAACCTGGGTCCTTTCCAGGTCCTCTGCAAGAGCAGAAAGTGCTCTAAAACACTGGGCCATCTTTCCAGCCCCTATTTATGATTATTACTCCAAAATTTTCAATTTATTTTAAAGGATTTATTTTTAATTATGTGTATGTATCAACATGCGTGTGTATGTGTGAGTATGGATCTCCTGGAGTTGAAGTTACAGGCTGTTATGAACCATTTGATGTGGGTGCTAGGAATAGAACTCATGTCTTCTGTAAGAGCAGTAAGTGCTCTTCACCTCTAAGCCATCTCACCAGCCCTTCTTCTGAGACAGGGCTTACTCTGTAGCTAAGACTGGAACTCACATCATAGCTTAGGCTAGAATCCAACTTTCTCAGTCTCCTGAGTACTGGAATTACATTTGTGAACCACCACACCCAGCTTATATTTACATTTCTACATCCAATTAAATTGTGTATATATGTATACACACACACACACACACACACACACACACACACACACACACACACACACACACGCATGCCTGTGACTATAGGCATGGGCCACCATGCCTGGCTGCAATTAAAATATTTTCTGAAGCAGGAGGAAACATTTCCTAAGGTTATGAACAGACCAGGCTCCCCCACCTGCCAATTTTAAAAAACATTTTTAATCGTTTTATTTTTTATTTTACGTGTGTTGTGTTTTGTCTAAATGTATACCCGTGCACCTCATCCCTGTCTGCATGAAAGCCAGAAGAGGGCATCAGATTCCCTGGAACTTCAGTTGACTATGGTTCTTTACCACCAACCACATGGGTGCTAGGAACTGAACCCAAGTATCTCTGGAAGAGCAGCCAATGCTCTTAATCACTGAGATGTCTCTCCAGCCTCCAGTTCTGAATGGAATCTTCATTAGGGAGCAGGTGACCACTTGGCTTGATGCCTGCACATTGGCTTCCCTACACATCTTGCCTTCAGTGATGCGGTGTGAGATCTCCTGAAGGCTGCCTCCTGACTGACAAGTGTGACCAGGCTCACTGCACTGGAGAACACAGAGTATGAAGCCCTGCAGAGACCCTGTGTACCTGCCTGGCGAGAATGAATGACAAAGGAGATACTTTGGAAAACTATTATGTGGCTCAACGGAAAGACCTGTGTCCAGAGTGGTGGCCCATGATTATAACCCCAACTCACAGGAGGTAGTAAACAGGGGATCAGAAGTTCAAGGTCATCCCCGGTTACATAATGAGTTCAAGACCAGCATGGGCTATAGGAGACTCTGCCTTGGTGGCACACGCCTGTTAGAGGCAGAGGCAGGAGTATCTCTAAGTTCAAGGTCAACCTGGGCCACATATCAAGGTCTAGGACAACATATAGAAACCCTGTCTCAAAACACCAAAACAAACACAAGAACAAAAACCCAAGAGGCTGGAGTGCTACAGTTAAGAGCACTCACTCTCTTCCAAAGGACCTGAGAGCACACCTTTAATTATATAGTACTCAGGCAGAGGCAGGTAGATCTCTGAGTTCAAGGCCAGTTTGGTTTACACAGTGAGATCTTGTTTTAAAACAAAACCACTTGTTTGGAGGGGATGGTAGCACACACTTCTTTTTTCTTTTTGTTTCTTAAGAGAGGGTTTTGCTTTAAAAGTTTTTGAAAGGACTTATTTATGAGTGCTCTGCCTGCATGTACACCTTTATGCCAGAAGAGGGCATCAGATCCCACTAGAGAAGGTTGTGAGCCACCACTGACCACTGAGCAATCTCTGCAGCCGGGGTAGCACACACTTGTAATCTCAGTACTAGGGGGTGGAGGCAGGAGGATCAGTTCATGTTCATGTTTAGTTACATAGCATGTTTGAGGCCAGCCTTGGCTACATGGGAGCCTTTCTCCCCCTGCTCCCCCAAAAAACCAAAGTATAGAATACTTTAGTAATCTGTTTTATGTTTGTTTGCTTTTGTCTCTCTGTGTAGCCCTGGCTGACCTAGAACTCACTATGTAGACCAGGCTGGCCTTGAACTCTGAGATAGATCTACCTGACTCAGCCTCCCTAGTCCTGGAATTAAAGGCATGTGCTGCCAGGTCCGGCCACTTTAGAAATCTTTAAGTATGCTATGCAGTACAGATTACCTTTCTTTCATTATGTATGTGTGTATATTATATACCCATGCTTTTTTGTTGTTGTTTCAAGACAGGGTCTCTCTATGTGGTCCTGGCTGTCCTGGAACTTGCTATGTAGAGCAGGCTGGTTGTTTTGTCTTTTGCGGTTGTTTTGAGACAGGCTTCATTACATAGTCTTGGCTGGCCTAGAGGTCACTATGTAGACAAGATAGCTTAAAACTTATGGCAATTCTCCTGCCTCTGCCTCCTCAGTGCTGGGACTCCATGCCTGGCCCTCCCCCTTTTTTAAAGTTACATTTGTGAGTTTGTATTTGCATATGGGTGGGCACACACCATGGCGACTGTGTGGAGGTCAGAAGACAACTTGCATGAATTGGTCTCTTTCCACCCTGTAGGTCCAGGATAGAACTCAAAGTCATCAGGCTTGGTTGGTGCCCATACCTGCTGAGCCATCTCACTGGCCTTTATTTTTCCTTTAAGTCTCATGTGTCCCAGGCTAGCCTCAAACTTGTGGCAATGCTCCTGTCTCTGCTCCCTCAGTGCTGGGATTCTAAGCATTAAACTACCACACCCTTTGCGGTGTTATTTTTGAAAGTGTACTGGCTCCAGAGAGCAGCACCTAGTCCTAATCCATCCTTTGTTTAACCACACCTTTTGTTTCTCTGATACCTTTTGTTTCTCTTCTTGTCCTATGTGAATCTTGTCTGAGTCTCCCAAGGATCAAAGGCCCATGCAAAAACTTGGTTCAGGAAACCCAGAAAACCTGGTACCTGAGAAATCTAGGAATTTGCACTTGGCACTGTATCTTTGGGAGCTCCTTTCAGGTTTCTTTGATGATATGGAAATGAACTGACTAAACTGTAAATAGAGAGAAAGTAAAAATGCCCTAGGTGAAGGGAAAGTGCTTCAGTCCTTTGAGGCTGGACCCGCCTGCAGCCATGTTAATT